AAGTAGCTGGAACTACAGGTGCGCACTACCACACCCAGCTAATTTTTGATTTATTGTAGAAATGAGGCCTCACCAAGTTGCCCGGGTGAGTCTCGAACCCGCAGACTCAGGCAATCCACTCACTTCGGCCTCCCAAAGTGTTGGGATTATAGGCTGAGCCACCGAGTCCGGCAGAATATGTACTTTATCACTGTCTGTTAGCTCTATAACCTTAAGCACATGTTTAACTTGCTTGCATTTTTTTCTTCTTAGTAACAAAAGATATTTTACTTGCTTACTATTATTGCTAAAATCAATAAAACACATTTTCATTATTTAATATTTTCACTTACTATTTATTGAGCAGCCAAATAAATGCTATGTGCTAGAATAGACATTTGGGACATAAATGAGTAATATAGGCTGAGTGCAGTGGCTCAAGCCTGTAATCCCAGTACTTTGGGAGGCCGAGGTGAGGGGATTGCCTGTGTCCACGGGTTCGAGAACTGCCTAGGCAACTTGGTAAGACCTCATCTCTACAATAAATTAAAAAATTAGCTGGGCGTGGTAGCGCATGCCTGTAGTTCCGGCTACTTGAAAGGCTGAGGCAGAAGGATTGCCTGAGTCCAGCAGGTCAAAGCTGGGGTGGCCGTGAGTGTGCCACTGCACTCCAGCCTGGGTGAAGGAGTGAGACTTCAACTCAAAAAAAAAATTAGTAATACACCCGTCACCTTAAGTAAATGGCCCCAGCACAGCGCATAACAACTATTAAGCACTCAAAGGATTTTAGCTATATAAGGCACAACCCCAAAAAACCCAGAATTTATTTATAAAACATTGTGTTTATTCTTAAATGTTTAAACTTTAATTATCTTCAAAGTACTTTCTGTTTGATGCAATACACCTATTGAGACACTTTTTCCACCGCTCAAAACAGTTTTTTTTTTTTTTGGGTTGGAGTCTCACTCTGTGGCCCAGACTGGAGTGCAGTGGCATGCTCCTGGTCACTGTAGCCTCGACCTGCTGGGCTTTGGCGATCCTTTCGCCTCAGCCTTCCAAGTAGCTGGAACTACAGACGCGTGTTACCACAAAAATTACCACCGGCTAATTTTTTTGATTTATTGTAGAGATGAGGTCTCGCCAAGTTGCCCAGACGGGTCTCGAACCCACGGGCTCAGGCAATTCACTCACCTTGGCCTCCCAAAGCGCGGGATTACCGGCTGAACCACTGAGCTCGGCAAAACAGTTTTTTGAACTCGTCAATTTTGATGCCTTTTAGTGCTTCTGCTGTTTTTTGTTTCTTTTTTTTTTTTTTGAGTTGGAGGTCTCACTTCGTTGCCCAGGCTGGAGTACAGTAGCACGCTCATGGCCACTGCAACCTTGACCTGCTGGGCTCAGGTGATCCTTCCGCCTCAGCTTGTTTTTTGTTTCACCTCTTCCACATTGGCAAAACGTTTCACTTTGAGGACTTTTTTCATCCAGGAAAACAACAAAAAGTCACTGGAGCAAGATCGGGTGAATCAGGAGGGTGGGGCACAGGGTCATGCTGTTTTTGATCAAAAACTGCTGAACACTCAGCACTGTGTAGGCAGGTGTGCTTATAAATCACTTGTCATGAAATGGGCAAATGCACTGAAAGAATCTCCCAAAAAAAAAAAATTACTGAGGCTGAATGTAGTCTCTCACAATGCTGGCTGGTACAGATGCCAATGGGTTCTTAGAACACTTACCTAGTTGGGGAAGCCTGTACTGCAAGAGGTCTACCCTCCAAAAAGATAATTCCGGGTTTTTTTGTTCCCCTCTCCCCGTATAGTTCATATAATAGTTTTTGAGTAATTTTTCTCTCTTCATATCTTCAACCTCTCACTGACAACCCTGCTTCTCCATCTCAGCAAATGATCCTGCCTCCCTCCTCATGGAGAATTCAGATAACTGGCCTCAACTTCCTGTCACTACACCTTCTTTGCATCTACTTTTAGCCTTTTCTTCTTCCCTGGATACAATGGCAATGGAGGTGCCTTCTGTCAAGGGTCTTGATCCCTAGGAACTTCCCTCTACTGTATCCCCTTCTTTTACTCCCTCCAATTTTTCCCTCCAAATAGGCTTTCTTTCATCATAGCATTTATTTATTTATTTTTTGAGTTGGAGTCTCACCTGTCGCCCAGACTGGAGTGCAGTGGCACACTCCCGGCCACTGTAGCCTCAACCTGCTGGGTTCCGGGGATCTTCTCGCCTTAGCCTTCCAGGTAACTGGAACTATAGGCATGCGTCACCACACCCGGCTAATTTTTTGATTTATTGTAGAGATGAGGTCTCGCCTGCCCAGGCAGGTCTCGAGCCCACGGGCTCAGGCAATCCACTCACCTCAGCCTCCCAAAGGCGCAGGATTACAGGCTGAGCCACCGAGCCCGGCCACATCATAGCATTTAAACATTCTCAAATATCTCCCTTTGAAATCTTTCATCCAGGTGCAGTGGCTCAGGCTGAGGTGAGAGGATTGTGTGAGCCCACCCGTTCAAGATCAGCCTGGGCAACTAGGCAAGCTCTCATCTCTACAATAAATTAAGAAAATAGCCAGGCATGGTGGCACGTGCCTGTAGTTCCAGCTACTTGGAAGGTTGAGGCAGAAGGATCGCCTGAGCCCATCGAGTTGAGGCTGCAGTGGCCGTGAGTGTGCCACTGCACTCCAGCCTGGGCGACACAGTGAGACTTTAACTCAAAAAAAAAAAAAAATGAGTCGGGTATGGGGGCATGTGCCTGTGGTTCTAGATACTTGGAAGACTGAGGCAAAAGGATTACCTGAGCCCAGCAGGTTGAAGCTGTAGTGGCTCATAAGCCTGTCACTGCACTTCAGTCTGGGTGACAGAGTGAGACTTTGACTCAAAAAAAAAAATCTCTTTCAAGTATCCAGGCCCTTAGCTACTCTACTTTGCCTTTGTAAGAGTCAAAATCCTTGAAAGAGTTACATTCATTCATTCACTTCTGTCTGACTCCACCCTCAGGCTCACATTACTGAAAACTGTCTTTCAAAACCTGGCAGGGCGCAATGGCTCACGCCTGTAATCCCAGTACTTTGGGAGGTAGAGGCGAGAGGATTGCCTAAGCCCAAGGATTCAAGACTAGCCTGGGCAACGTTAAGACCTTGTCTCTACAATAAATAAAAAAATTAACTGGGCGTGGTGGTGCACGCCTGTAGTTCCAGCTACCTGGAAGGTTGACAGAGAAGGATCATGTCAGTTCAGCAGGTTGAAGTTGAGGCAGCCATAAGCATGTCACTGCCCTCCAGCCTGGGCAACAGAGTGAGATTCTTTGACTTAAAAACAAAACAAAACAAAAACCCTAATAGCCTTTTCTTTTTTTTTTTTTTTTGAGTTGGAGTCTCACTCTGTCACCCAGACTGGAGTGCAGTGGCCGCTCCCGGCCTCCACGGCCTTGACCTGCTGGACTCTGGTGATCCTTCCACCTCAGCCTTCCAAGTAGCTGGAACTATAGGTGTGCACTACCACGACCAGCTAATTTTTGATTTATTGTAGGGATGAGGTCTCGCCAAGTTGCCCAGGCAGGTCTCGAACCCGCAGGCTCAGGCAATCCACTCAACTTGGCCTCCCAAAGTGCAGGATTACAGGCTGAGCCACCGAGCCTGGCCCCAGCCTTTTCACTGAAGCCAGCAGACACTTCTCAGTCCTTTTCTCCAACTGATTTATTTTACTTCTTCCAACTTGCCATGTGAGTATGCTTTCATAGCCTAGCCTCTGCCTACACTGTTCCCTCCTAAAACACACCTTTACTTGGTTAACACTCACCTCTCAGAATGGAAAACGATTTCTGCTAACCCCCTGACTAATTCTAACACCCCCCAGCATGCTCCCTTAGTACCAACACAGCACTGACCTTATGGCACCGACATAGCCTATATACCTTCCACAGCCCTCACTAGATTAAAGTGCCATGGGGGTAGGAAGCATATTGTTCTTCTTTATATCCTACATGAGTTTAAAAATATTTCTTTCGGCTGGGTGCGATGGCTCATGCCTGTAATTGTAGCACTTTGGGAGACTGAAGCAGGAGGAATACTGGAGCCCAAGATTGTGAGGCCAACCAAGGCAACACAGCAAGTCCTCATCTCTACTACAGAAGAAAAAAAAAATTAGCCAGGTGTGGTGGCACACACCTGTAGTCTCAGCTACTCAGAAGGCTGAGGCAGAAGGATCCCTTGAGCCCAGGAGGTTGAGGCTGTGGTGAGCTATGATCTTGCCACTGTACTCTAGCCTGGGTGACACGGTGAGACCCCAACTCAAAAATCAAATAAAAATATTTATCTGTACATACTATTAAATATCTATTAGATAGTTAATAAGACAAAGCCAAAATAAATAATAAAACCCTAGCCGGGCTCAGTGGCTTAGCCTGTAATCCCATGCCTTAGGAGGCTGAGGTGAGTGGATTGCCTGAGCCCGTGGGTTCGAGACCCGCCTGGGCAACTTGGTGAGACCTCATCTCTACAATAAATCAAAAAAATTAGCTGGGCGTGGTAGTGCGCACCTGTAGTTCCAGCTACTCGGAAGGCTGAGGTGGAAGGATCGCTGGAGCCCAGCAGGTGGAGGCTGTGGTGGCCGGGAGCGGCCACTGCCCTCCAGTCTGGGCGACAGAGTGAGACTCCAACTCAAAAATAAAAAAAAATAAAAAAAAAAACCACTAACAAGGGTCCCCAGCATACCTTAGGCCCATAGAAGGCGCCATCTCCGGAGCTGAGATCCCAAGGTTCTCCAAATTCCTCCAGGGCCTGCTGAAGGACCTGTGGAGGGAACGAGGCAAGAGACATATCATCCCGGACTTCAGGAACAACACAACCCTTCCAGTCCCCAACAAATGGCCCCCAGCATACACCTCTCTCTGAAGCCCTTGGTTACTATGACCTTCACCTCTTTCCACTAGAGAGTGGCTTATCTGCTTCTCTACCTCCTGCTCACCTGTTCAGCGTGGTCCCAAAGGCAAGGATCCCCCAGGAAGCCGGATGGCCGGGTGGATAGTGCCAGGCGGAAGGAGAAGCCAAGGACAGCATAGACAGAGCGGAGGAAATCAAGACAGTTTCGGATTTCTGCTTCCAGCTGGGGGCAGGAAATAACAGTGGGTGAGCCAGAGGTCCAGTATAATAGCACTTGGGGAAAACAGAGGGCAAAAACCTAGAGAGGCAGCAGACGAAAACTGGGGTAGAATGTGGCTTCTGGTAGTATATCCAGAGGGTAACAGAAGGTCAGGGATGTTGGTGGTTCATAGGGAGATGGTTTAGAAAAGCTTTGGTGGAGCTGGGGAAGGGTCACCTGATCTGGTGCACAGAAGATGTGAGCATCATCCTGCTGGAAGCATCGCAGGCGGGTCAGTCCCCCCAGATTGCCAGATGCTTCAGCTCGGTGCAGGGCCCCAAAGTCAGCCAGTCGCAGGGGCAGCTCCCGCCAGGATCTGGGCCGGTGGGCGAACATCAGGCTGAGGTTGGGGGGGAGGGGTCAGGGCCACAAGGACTAATCCTGGAAGACTGCTCCCCCACATCATTTGCTTGCCTACTTCCTCTGCACATCAGCTAACGCCCTCTCTAGCCTTGGCATGTCCTCTCACTGAGTCCTGTCAATCCCACCGGTTCAAAGTGAATTTCTCAGTAACACAATAGACTAATTTACTATGCCCTTGTTCTGTGATAGGCACTGAGCAGAAAGAGAAACCTCAGACAGCAACTTCAAACCCTTGATGTAACCTGCAAGTAAACTGAGGTCTAAAGAGGTATAATGAGTTTCTCAGATTCTCATGTTTAGCTAGAGGGAAGATTCAAGACTCAAATCAAGTGTCCCATACTCTTTCGAAGGTACTTGCTATTCCTTAATATTTAGCAACCTGATTGTAACCCTAGCCCTGGAAGGACCCAGGTCTCCTGACCCCCAGCTCACCAATGTGCAGGGCAGTTCATGGGCTTGAGGGCGAGTATGTCTGTGGGATGCCTGGTAGGGTGTTCACTCGAGGAGGCAGTGGGCCTGTCAGACCCTGGGGGCTGCAGGGCAAACATGTCTTCCCTATAATGATCCCAGTGCCCTGACTGTTCCCAAAGTTTCGTAGAAAACAGTGTGGGGGTTTTCACCTCTGAGAAACCACGGCGGGCATACTCAGCCTGGAGAGGAGAATACAGATATGGGAGGTCAGAGTTACCAGAAGGAGAGGAGGCAGGGTGGCAGAGGTGTGATTCTCTCAGGCCTTCAGGCCCTGCTGATCACAGCCACAACCTATAATCCCATGTCCCATCTCTATACTCCCTCACTCCCCTACTGTAGACTGCCTAACTGCAGTCCTTAAAGATCACTAGCACTTTACGGTATTTATGTTTATGCTTCCAACCCTCCTCCTCTAACTCAAAACACCTTAGTTTCTTCTAGGTCCTCAGCCCCTCCCTGGTCTTCTTTGCTCTGGATTCAGGTCCCCTTACCCTGATAAATGCCACCAGTGCATTATACACCCTTGTCCCTCGTGGCAGGAAGAAGCAGCTCCCAGGGCTCAGTTCATGGAAGAAGAAGAGCTCCTGTTCCTGGGGCCAGGGATGGCAATGGTCACTTCAGGAAGGGGAAGGGGCTTCAGAACCCAGATGAAACAACTGATGGAACGGCTCAGTCGCTGTGACTGAATCTGCTCCCAACTCACAATCAGGTTCCCTCATCTGTCTCCATCCCTTGTCACCAGCCACCCCTCCCAGTCTTCCCAATCTCTGTACCTTCCCAATGCGCCGGTGATCCCGCAACTCTGCTTCTTCTCTCCATGCTTCCCAAGCCCTCAGCAGTTCTATTGTGGGGAAGGAAATCCCTGACACTCTCTGCAGTGTCTCTGGGGTCCCTGAAGACCTCCATAAAGAAGACGAGTTCTGGGTGAGAACATAGGAAATCAAAGGGATGAGGAGGACTGAGGGCGGCTGCCTCTCCTAAGCCTCATGTGACACTCTCAGCACAAGCATCGCAGGTATGCCACTTGACAATTGTCCTGTTTCAGCTCTCTCACCACTTTCCCACCATCACCGCCAGCAGGATGGCCAACCTCTTCCACAGTTCTAGCCTTGCAGGTGCCCAACTCCTGATTCCTGCACACACCTGGACAAGCCTAGCCCCGCCCTGCCACCCCTTTTTCTTTCCATTCTCACCACCACTGCCCAACCACTGCCCAACCAGCACCCCTGTACTTAGTTCCTTCTCTTTTAATAAATGACTCCTAGCTGGGATCGGTGGCTCAACCTGTAATCCCACGCTTTGGGAGGCTGAGGTGAGTGGATTGCCTGAGCCCGCGGGTTCATGACCTGCCTGGGCAACCTGGTAAGACCTCATCTCTACAATAAATCAGAAATTATGGCTCAACCTGTAATCCCGCGCCTTTGGGAGGCTGAGGTGAGTGGATTGCCTGAGCCCGCGGGTTCGAGACCCGCCTGGGCAGCGAGATCTCATCTCTACAATAAATCAAAAAATCAGCCGGGCGTGGTAGCGCCTGCCTTTAATTCCGGCTACTCGGAAGGCTGAGGCAGAAGGATCGCCGGAGCTCAGCAGGTCGAGGCTGCGGTGGCTGGGAGTGGCAACTGCACTCGTCTGGGCAACAGAGTGAGACTCCAACTCAAAAAATAAAAATAAAATATAAAAAATAAAATTAGCTGGGTGTGGTAGCATGTGCCTGTAGTTCCAGCTACTTGGAAGGCTGAGGCAAAGGATCGCCAGAGCCCAGCAGGTTGAGGCTGTGGTGGCCGGGAGCGGCCACTGCACTCCAGTCTGGGCGACTGAGTGAGACTCCAACTCAAAAAAAAAAGACTCTTTGGGGAAGCATTCATAAGCTCTGGTAAAATGTTAGTCTATCCCCTATCTTATCAATATCCCAGACAGCAGCTAGAAAAATCAGTCTTCTATACCATATCCTATTTCTGCCCACATGAAATCCAAAAGCTTCAGCTTGCCCTTTCCTTTAACAATAGTACTAATAAGAAACTGCCTACATTTTATAGTACTTTTAAACTTTTCTTCACTTTCTCCTGCATTAGTTGGCTTTCATTGTTTTTATGAGGTAGATTTACTGGTAGGACAGGAAGGAAATATCAGCCTCATTTTATAGATGGGAAAAATGAGTAAGAAGATTTATCCAAAGCCACATACCTCATTTGTGCAGAGTAAGGACTAAATGCAGATGGCTAGTTCTTAAGTTCAGGGCTTTTTGCTCTATACATCTGCCTGTCCCCCTGCTACCTGGTCCCATTCCCACCTAGTTAACTCATCTTGTCCAGGAATAGTATTTTCTTTTTTTTTTTTTTGAGTTGGAGTCTCACTCTGTCGCCCAGACTGGAGTGCAGTGGCACGCTCCCGGCCACCGCAGCCTCGACCTGCTGGGCTCCAGTGATCCTTCCACCTCAGCCTTCCAAGTAGCTGGAACTACAGGCACATGCTACCACACCTGGCTATTTAAAAAAAAAATTTATTGTAGAGATAAGGTCTCGCCAAGTTGCCCAGATGGGTCTCGAACACGCGGGCTCAGGCAATCCACTCACCTCAGCCTCCCAAAGCACGGAATTACAGGCTGAGCCACCGAGCCCGGCTAGGAATAGCATTTTCATAAAGGCATGCCCTTGACTTAAGGTATCCTTCCTGTGCCTGTCAGATGGTGTTTAGGTGTTTATCTGTCCTCCTGGACCACTCTCTCTCTCTCTCTCTCTCTCCATATGACCCTGTCTAGCCTGCTCACATTCTCCTTCTGTGTCCCTTAACGTTGACTAGGGAATTTGAACTGGCTTCTGGGCTCCGGCAGAGTGTCCAGTATCTGCCATCAAACTGGGGTTTCCAGAATGTGGGACCTGACTATCTTTCTCCTCCTGGATTCCCCCTCAACTCTCAGAGTAGAGAAGAGGCAGAGAGAAAGGTTCATCTTTCCATTCTCCTGCTCAATCCAGGGAAAACAGAAGTCTTAACCTAACTCTGCCCTCACAACTGACCGTTAGTAGCTTCAATCCTCCAATCTGTCCGGTATGCCGAAGGTGGGGGCCCTGGCAAAGGTCAACCAAAGTGCCACAACTGGAAGAAAGACAGGAAAATTAGTGATTTCCCTATTCTTCAGTTTCTAATTTTCTCCCTCTTGTGGCCTTTGGCTGATAGAAAGTAGAGGTAAAAAGGAAGGAGCTATTCTATAGACAGAGAGAGCAATGGCAGATAACAGTAAATTCCTGTTCCCATTTCTTTTTCTGGAGCAACACATATCACCATATCACCTTTATTTTCCTTCTCTTACCCCATTTCTGGCCCTCTTCAGTGCTTCCCCGCCTCTCCTTATTTCCCCTAATCGTGACCACTCTTACCCATATACTGTTGCTGTTGGACCTGTCACTTTCTCCTCAATCAGGTAAAGCTTAAAGGGGTTATCCTGCAAGAAGGTAGAAGGAAAGACTGAAGACAAGTCTTATTCCCACAAAGATGTGCTGGGAGAGATTCACCTCTTCCCTGCACCTCACCTTAAAGAGCTGGCGAAGCTGATCCCGGGAAGCCTCTAGCCTCCGGAAGGGTTGAGCGGCAGCTATAAGTTCCTGGCAAATCCGCTCTAAAACAGACACCTCTGAGCCCCGAATTGTTCTGGAAAGAGGAGAGTTAGTTGGTTTGCCTCCTGTAAGGTGCATCAGTCACCTGGAAGACACACCTGCTGGTGAGGGTGAAGTGTTACCCTCTAGGGAAAATCTAGGATTATCAGCAAAGACAGAAAAACTCAGAGAAAATATAAACAGGAATCAGGTAACAGATTTTACAGCTGAAGAAAAGGCTTTATGCATGAAGTTCAAAGACGAGTGCAAGAAATCTAGAAGGACCCAGAACAACAGTAATGAGGGGATGGAGTAAAATTTGAGTTCACAGAGGCAAAGAAGGTAAGTTTCAAACAGAGTCAGACAGAAAAAGCGGGACAGAGAGAGTGGTACCAGTGTCACAGCTGAAGCCTCCAGTTTCTTCCTCCACATTGAACAAGCCCAAGGACCTGAAGAGGGCCTCTGAAACCAGCGCTGACTAATTCTCCTTCTTTGCATCACTCACCGCTCCTTTCCCAGGAAGAAATCATGGTAGAAGCCACATTCTGTACTTGGGCCTCGGCAGAGAACAGCACCTAGAAATTGTTCAGCTGCTGCCCCCAGGACATGGGTGCTGGAGTGCCAGAACACCTGGGTTCAAGAAAGGGGTTCATAAGTTCACAAACTCCTCCCTTAGCCCCTGGATCCCTGATTTCTTCCCCAGACAAGCTGGTAGGAAAACCATTGTGGTTCTTCTAGGAAAAAGAACCACACAATGGAGATTCTAGACTTTGATCGCTAAATAGTAAAAAGCTAAAAAAAAAAGAAAATACTGAATAGAAAAGAAAACAGAAGGCTGCTACATTGTCTTCTTTCGTAACACAAAAGCCCCAGACCCACCCTCAGTTCTTAATGCTTCCCAATTCTGCAGCACAGAAGCAGGAGGCCAGGTTGGGTTTTTTTTGCTAGTCCCATAATATTTTAGGGCTTTGGAATAGACTATTTTAAGATAGTGATTCCTTAGCACTTTGTTTGGTCTTTTAGTTCTATTTTTTTTTTTTTGGAGTCAGAGTCTCACTCTGTCGCCCACGCTAGAGCCCAATGGCACACTTATGGGCATCCCAATGTCGACCTGCTGGGCTCAGGCGATCTTTCTGTCTCAGCTTTCCAAGTAGCCAGGACTACAGGTGTGTACTACTACACTTGGCTAATTTTTTGATATATTATAGAGGCGAGGTCTTACAAAGTTACCCAGGCTGGTCTTGAACCCTTGGGGTCAGGCAATCTTCTCACCTCGGCCTCCCAAAGTACTGGGATTACAGGATTGAGCAGCGGAGCCCGGCCTAGTTCTGTTTTTTTATAGCCCAGGAATCTAGTGTGATACAATGACTCCTTTAGGATTTGGTCACTATTTACACATAGATGACATGAAAACTCCATTTTTCTGCATCCAGATAGACAAGGTTTGTGTTATCTAAACTGACATGAAGAGGACAAAGTCAGGAGGCTGCCACACTATGTGCTCAGTTGTGGAAGCCATGTTAGAACTGAACATACACTATAGATGATTTATAATGCATGTGCTCAAGCGTTGAGGGAGCTGATTTGGTATCTTATTCTTTTGTTTTTCAACTTTTTTTTTTTTGAGTTGGAATCTCACTCTGTCGCCCAGACTAGAGTACAGTGGCACGCTCCTGGCCACCACAGTCTCGGCCTGCTGGGCTCTGGTGGTTCTTCTGCCTCAGCCTTCCAAGTAGCTGGAACTACAGGCACGCGCTACCATGCCCAGCTAATTTTTGATTTATTGTAGAGATGAGGTCTCACCAAGTTGTCCAGGCGGGTCTCGAACCCACAGGCTCAGGCAATCCACTCACCTCAGCCTCCCAAAGCGCTGGGATTACAGATTGAACTGCCGAGCCCGGCTGCTTTTCAACATATCATCTCTCCCTTTCATTAGCACAAATGATGTTTGCTTAATAGACCAAAGCTAAGTAAGAACTTTCACTATAAGTTTCCAACTTAGCCAGGAGTAGTCAGATATCCAAGATAGTCTGTGGTAAGTCTCTCTCCTAACTGCAAATGGAGAAACTGAGGCAAAAGAAATAAATGTTAGAATTTCCTGCTTAGGCCGGGCTTGGTGGCTCAGGCTGTAATCCCAGCACTTTGGGAGGCTGAGGTGAGTGGATTGCCTGAGCCCACGGGCTTGAGACCAGCCTGAGCAACTTGACAAGACCTTGTCTCTACAATAAAATAAAAAATAGCTGGGCATGGTAGCATGCATGTAGTTCCCGCTACTTGGCAGGCTGAGGCAGAAGGATTGCTGGAGCCCAGAAAGTCGACACTGGGGTGGCCGTGAGCGTGCTTGCCACTGCACCCCAGCCTGGGCGAAGGAGGGAGACTCCACCTCAAAAAAAAAAAAAAAGAATTTCCTGCTTAAATAGCTCTTAATTGTATTCCTGATAAGAAAGAAATTGTCCTGCAGAAGAAGCAAGATTGAAAAAGAAAGCTTGGCATGGTGGCACGTGCCTGTGTTTCCAGCTACTTGGAATGCTGAGGTGGAAGGATTTCCTGAGCCCAGCAGGTCAAGGCTGCAGTGGCCACGAGAGCGCCTCTGCAATTCAGCCTGGGCGACAGAGTGAGACTCCGACTCAAAAAACAAAAACAAAACAAAACAAAAAACCCAAAGAACCTTACCGCTTTCCCCTCTGGGGAGTTAAATGTCAGGAATTTGAGGTCAGAATCTGTCTCCAAGGGCCGCTCCAAATCATAGGGCTCTCCATTCACTTGAGCAGCCACTGCAGTATCTGCCAGTGTTGAACTTCAGCAGTGGGAATGAAGACAAAGGTAAGATTACAAGACACAAAAAGACAAATACAGCATGTTCCCACTCATATATGGGAACTAAAAAAGTTTATCTCATGATGGTAGAGAGTAGAGTGATAGATACAAGAGGCTAGGAAGGATGGCCAGGGGAGAGGAAGAGAGGTTGGCTAATGGGTACAAACAATCAGTTAGATAGAAGGAATAAGTCCTGGTGTCCAATAGCAGAATAGGTGATTATAGTTAACAGTAAGTTATTTCAAAACAGCTAGAAGGGATTTGAGATGCTCCCAACACAATGAAATGATAGGCTCGGCACAGTAGCTCATGCCTAAAATCCCAGCACTTTGGGAGGCCAAGGCAGAAAAATCACTTGCACCCAGGAGTTTGAGACGAGCCTAGGTAACATAGAGAGACCTTGTTTCTACAAAATAAAATTTTCAAAAAATTAGCTGGGCACGGTGGTGTACAACCATAGTCCTAGCTACTCAAGAGGCTGAGGCAGGAGGATGGCCTGAGCCCAGGAGGTTGAGGCTGCAGTAAGCCATGGTCATGCTACCGCACTGCAGTCTGGGCAATAGAGCAAGATCCTGACTCAAAACAAAAAAGAAAAAACAAATAATAAATGTCTGAAGTAACAGATATCCCAAATGCCCTGATTTTATTTTATTTATTTCTTTTTTGAGTCAGGGTCTCACTCTGTCACCCTGGTTGGAATACAGTGGCAAATCACTGCTCACTGCAGCCACGACCTCCTGGGCTCAGGTGATCCTTCTGTCTTAGCCTCCCAGTAGCTGGGACTCAGGTGCGAGCCACTATGCCCAGATAACTTTTGAGTATTTGTAGAGTCAAGGTCTTGCTATGTTGCCTAGGCTGATCTCGAACTCCGGGCTTAGGCAATTCTCACTCCTCAGTCTCCCAAAGTCCTGGGATTATAGGTGTGAGCCACAGCACCTGGCCCTGATTTGATCATTATACATGTATACAAATATCACACGTATCCCATAAAGATGTACAATAAAAACGTAAGCTAATTACAAGGGGACAATCCACAGGGGAGGAGAGGCACTAATCTCTCAGCAACTCTAAACTTGCAAACGGGAAATGAGTTACCAGAGCAAAAGTACCTATCATTTCTTTCCCCAATGGAAGGGCAGAGACTGATGCCAAAACTAATACAGATAAAACAAATCCTCAGAAAAGGCTATGTTGATGGACTTGGAATAGAAACAAGCAGACCAAGTTTTCTTTCCCTGCTCAGAGGCAGAGGAAGGGGCAGAAGGATAATCCTGGTAGCTACAGGATGGGCCTGGTACCTGATCTGTTGGGCTAGTTGGTAAGGGGTTGTGTTCCATGCCACGGCATCCACTTTCTGGCCTCCAGGAAGTGATATCTTAATAGTTCGTGGTTCCTTCTGGGCCATGCTCGCTGACCTCTTTACCTGAGCAGCCCATAGCTCCTCAAAAAGGCCAAGCCGCTCTGTCAACCAGTGTGGAGGGGTCGGCACAGCTGCCTAGAGGGAAAGATGTGTTAGCAGGTAACACAGGATTCCTTCTCAGGATTGGGGATGCTGTGGATATGTAAGTGGCCCGGGTGATACAGGGCCCTAGGCCGCGGGCCCTCCGGAGCTCTGCACTCCCCAGACCGCTGATTCGAGAAACCGATGGCGACTTTAGGTCTAGGGTGGCATCACCTGGGGGCTCGGGAAAACGGAAGACAGGAGGAGTGGCGTGAGGACAGGCTGAAGCCTACACTATGGGCTTTGGCTGGACTGGGTCCAATGCGGAAATTTTGGTTACCTCACGCACCGTGTGTAACCCGCAAGCCTGCAGCCTTGGAAGCCGGAGCCGTCGCCACCTCTGGTACAGCCCCATGTTCCTTCAGGCCGGTGCCCACATCCTCAAACAGATTATCGCCGCTTCTCCTTCACGAGATTCCTCATTGGCTTCTGGCCCAATAACGTCCCTCCCTATTGGCTACAACAGCTGCCACTCTAGTCTTGCACCACCTCCAGGAACTCTGAAGAAGTACACCCCACCCTGCACTTGCAGCGGCGCAAGTGGTTCCGACTGACCGGAAGGCCGAAACTGTAACACACATACCTGCAATCCCGAGACCCATGCATTTCCGCTGAAACCCAAATGCAGCAATAAAGCGTCCTGTGGCTTTGAAGGCAAGGGCAGGTGAACTTTTGAGGGCGAGAGTGGGAGAAAACCAGACAGGAAATGGTAGTTAGTAATTTCCCTTTAACCATGAATTTTCTTTCACATGGTCCTTACAGCAGGTAGAAAAACTGTTAAGAGCATAGACTTTGAACCAGACCGACCTAGTGTAAGTTGTCATTAACTATGTAATTTGCGGCAAATTATCTAAACCTCAATTTTTTCAACTATAAAACGGGGATAACAGCAGCATCACTCCCAATTGTTAAGTTCAATTTTATGTAAATAGTCTAGTATAATGCGAGAGTTTTGGTAATGCACAACAGTAGCAAGAAGCTGTTATAGTGGATATAACAGCTTTAAAGCTGAACCAAAGAATCTGCAGAGGTCATTTATTTGAGTCCTTTCATACAGTGCTTAAGAGGGACTTTATAGACCTCTTAAGCTTACAGATGACAAATTTAAGATCAGAGAAGGTAAGTGATTTCAGGTCAAACAGCAAATGCTGATGCTGGCTTCTGAATCCAAGTCTTGTACTCTTTCACCACACCATTCTTTCTCTAGTACAATACACCCCCCCCCCCCCCCCCCCGCCACCTCGGAAAGAACTGACTAGCATTTTAGCTCTCTACTCCCCACATAATCTCTTTGCCTTTCATTCCCATCCCAGCTCACTTCCTTTATCTCTTCTCTTCTCTCTCCCTACTACATCTAGGACACAGGAATAGAGGTATACTTGATTAGTTTTACACAATAAAAAGGGAAACATGGTCAGATATGTTGTGAAGTATGAAGGGAGGCTTGGGGGCAGCCACTGGCTCTCAGTAATTCCCATTGGTCCCCTCACCTGGGGGTGGGGATGTTTAGAGTTGGTTCTGAAGTTTCAATGGTGATAGAATCAAGTATTGTGGAGGAAGAGCTGTCAGAGAAAGCGGTTTAATCTAGGTTTCCAGAGGCTGGAAGTTCTGTCTGGGGAGGGCAGTTGCTCTGAGTCATAAGCACCACTCTGGATCTTGGCTCCATCTTCTGGTATGTTAGACACTCTGAAATACAAAGAGAAAGAGACAAGACTGTGGGAGAGGAAGATTCTGTGTGTGTGTGTATGTGTGTTAAGCATTTTTAAATGGCATTCAGAAAGGGTGATGACAGGCAGAATTCTTCCCTTGGCTTTGCACCAAAAGGGAGAGGCATCATATTGCAAGCAACAAAATGGTAGCTGCTCAATAAATACTGAATTAAGTATGTACCAATCACTGTATTGATTTGAAGCTCCAGAGGATACAGACATGACACAGTTTCTTTAATCATTCTACCTTCTCCTCTTTTGTTAGGCTACTAAAGGGATGGTGAAATAGGTAGGCTACCCTGAGATGCAGCTCCCTACATGCATCCCTCATTTACTGACGGCTTACTGTGTGCAATACAGTGAGCTAGGTGCTGAGGGGATACCGATCAATCAACTGCCACATCATCACCTGTGTAACCTGTGTTGCAACGGAGGAAGGAAGGTCAAGAGTTACTCCATCCCACGCCCTGTAAGAAGCAACTAAACAAGCAAGAGTAAGCTAACTAAGGCCGATTCATTAATTACTGGTTCTTCTACAACTTCTGACTTGTGACTAGCATATGCCTCGGCCTCAGGGAATTTTTAATCCGTTAGTTGGCCTAGGAAACATCTATCCTGAAAACTTGTTGCTCCACCGCGCCCCAGCCTTCCAGAATACGGCTGAACACCTACTACGTGCCAAAAGCTAAGCCTTCACAATCTCATTTAATACCTAGAAAAACTGTCAAGTAGTAGCTGTTTTAATGCTTCCTTTTAAATCATGAAAAATGACCCTCAGAGAAGTCAAGCTCTGGTCTATCTGGATCCAAAGCCTGTGTTGTTTCTGCTATGCCATGTTGCCTCTCAGGGACCAGATTAGTCATGTTGTATCCTGTTTAGAAGCACAACTCCCTATTCTTCTCTACAGTGCAAGACTCAGACACTTGTGGCCAAAGAGGCCTTGAATATAGGGTGAAGACATGCATCCAGTAAAAAGTGAAGAGGTGTCTTCTAATTTTTCTCTGCCAGACTAAGGTCAAGGAAAAAGAATGCAGGAAATAATGCTAGGTTTCCACAGAAGTGTAGGAAAAAGGGACTCTTCGATAAAGGGTGTCCTAGATCCTCAGTCAAATTTTAGGAAATTCTCAGCTCAACTCCAATATTTTTTTGAGTTGGAGTGTCACTCTGTCACCCAGGCTGGCGTGCAGTAACATGGTTATGGCCACTGTAGCCTCTACCTGATGGGCTCAGGCGATCCTTCCTCCTCAGCCTTCCAAGTAGTTGGAACTACAGGCATGTACCACCACACCCAGCTAATTTTTTGATTTATTGTAGAGACGAGATCTTGCCAAGTTTCCCAGGCTGGCCTCGAACTCCTGGACTCAAGCAATCCTCTTGCCTCTGCCTCCCAAAGTGCTAGGATTATAGGTGTGAGCCACCATGCCCGGCTCAACTCCACTTTTAGAAATCTCAAGTTGACTAAAGCCCTGGCTGAGACGGTATTGTTTTTATACCATTGAATTGTAGGAAAGAATACTCTCCATTGACGTAAAATGCATTTTCCACTTGTCATAAGGATCAACACATGCTTTCAAATCTATCTTACCTCTTAGAAGCAAATTCCATTTCCTTGTTCCAAAGATGTAGATAAGATTTTGAAGGCAGACAAAAAGAAAGTCTGTATGGTAAAATACAGAGGGTGCCCCCCCCAAAGTATACACATTTTAAGAAAGGAAAAAATTATATTAAAATTGTAATATTCAATATATACCCGTAACAAAAGATGAATACAAGTCACATTTGACTTCTGCAATTACAAGAGGTGCTCAAAGTGGTTACCATTAGCGTCCAGACACTTCTAGTTACGGCGAACAAAAAGTAAAACATAGATCTCTTAAGATGTGTATGTATTTTTGGGGGCACCCCTGGTATATAAAGATTTGTCATTGCCACCAATGCTTTTGAGGCCCAAGAGGGTAGCCAAATACTAAAGGCACAGCAGGTACTATGGAGGTTAGATTTTTAAAAAATCCTTAGTAATACAAGTGGAAGATCTAGGATGGAGCCAAGCTTACTTTAACTTTGTTTTAAGATGCCACAATGGGAGACTACGTCCAGCTAAATTTGGAGAATAGAGGGGAAATGTTTCTCCAAGACATGGGGATAAATTAAACTTTTTTTTTTTGGTGGAGTCTCACCCTGTTGCCCAAGCTGGAGTGTAGTGGCACCATCCTGGCTCACTCCAGGCTTGATCTCCTGGGCTTAGGCAATCCTTCCACCTGTCTCCTGAGTAGCTGAGACTACAGATGTGTGCCACCATGCCCAGCTAATTTTTGTATTAGAGAGAAGGTCTTGCTGTGTTCCCCAGGCTGATCTTGAACTTCTGGGCTCAAGCAATCTTCCCAACTTGGCTTTCCAGTGCTGGGATTATAGGGACAAAATTTAAAAACAGTGCCTTGGGCTTACCTAAAATCTCTAAGTTTTTCCTTTCACAGAACATCTCTTGAATCTGTAGAAGAGAAATAAGGAAAAGAACATCCCCACCCACCTCTTAAACAACTCTGATTTGTCAGATCAAGGCCAAGGGAAAAACAGAGAAATCTCCCAAACACAGGAGCCAGTACATAGATGTGTCAGTTTAGGATCAATGCTAAAGTAAAAACACAGGAAAGAGCAAAGTTCTCTAAAAGAAGACCCTAGATACATCTGTAGATTGAAATACAGGTTGTGTATCCATTATCCAAAATGTTTGGGACTGGAGTGTTGGATTTGAATTTTTGCACATTTTGGAATATTGGCATTATACTTACTGGTTGATCATTGATCATCCCTAATCCACAAATCTAAAATCCTCCAATGAACATTTTCTTTTGAGTGTCATGTTGGTGCTCAAGAAGCTTCAAAATTTGGAGCATTTTAGACTTCGGATTTGGGCTGCTCAACCCGTATACAACTAAGGCCCAATTATAAATAACCAAGATTTTTTTTTTTGAGTTGGAGTTTCACTCCATCGCCCAGACTGGAGTGCAGTGGCCGCTCCCGGCCACCGCAGCCTCAACCTGCTGGGCTTTGGCGATCCTTCCGCCTGAGACTTCCGAGTAGCCGGAATTACAGGCGTGCGCTACCATGCCCGGCTGATTTTTGATTTATTGTAAGAGATGAGGTCTCGCTGCCCAGGCGGGTCTCGAACCCGTGGGCTCAGGCAATCCACTCACCTCAGCCTCCCAAAGGTGCAGCATTACAGGCTGAGCCACGGAGCCCGGCTATAACCAAGATTTCAAATTAATCCTTTATTAACCAATAGTTCCCTGGCAATCCCTGGCTATCTTAAGTGTTGTCTCATGTAGTTGCAAAGAATTCCTAACCAGGGAAAGAGGGAAACAAGAAATAGCTTTCCATCTCCTTTCTTTCCACCCGTTCCAACTGAAGCACCTCAAGAAAAGTGTAGGGCATTTTAAGTCCTGTTATCTCCTCTCTTTTCCATAAATCATGTGGCAAAGGACTTGAGTCTCAAAAATAAGGGGATACAATAGGGGTAAGGAAGGAAGCTGCTGGAAAATCTATTTTGTCATGAACCTGAACATTTTCAGGGTGAACTGATATAGCCAACACCCTTCTTGAGTTGAATACAAAGAACTGCAGCCTGTATTTGTGTTTTCTCAGTTGTCACTGCAGCGCGCACCAGCCCTTCCACTCATTCAGCTTGCCTAGGTGTGAACAAAGGACAAGGACAGAAAAAAGTCAAAAATGGAACCATAAAGTACAGTTGGCTCCCCATGTCCACAAGTTCAGCACCCACAGAT